TGCCTGCTGTTTTCTTACAGGAAGGCAACACCTCCTTATCTGCTTCAGATCCTGAGGGGCTGCCAATACCATGCTGCTGTCGCTATGGTTTCTCCATGTTCTCTGCACTCCTCAGGCTTCTGCCAGATCTGTCTTCTAGGGTTAAAGAGATGTTTGGACTTCTAATACCAAAAAGAAATGGTAGCATGGGGAGGTCTGCTTGCTGAGCGTGGTTCAGATCAAACCACCAAGTTCTTAAAGGCTCGTGGAAGGGTTCAGGCTCTGAGTCCCAAATAACAGGCACATTACTTTTCTGGCTCAGGGATTTGTTTGCAGGAGTGGAAGGAAGTACCAGCTGCAGGACGGGAGTCTGTAGTTCACCTCCACTGCCTCAGCTGGGGGAGAGTGTAGTCCCCTCTGCTCTGAGCTGCTCACAGAAACAATATTTGTTTATATTGGCTTAACCATCCCAAGGGATAAAATTACTAGGAAATGTTTACAAGGACCATTTGAAACCTGAGAAGAGGATGTTTTTAGTAATGCAGAAAGAGCCAAATACCTTAGAAGATAAATATTCCAGCTTTAAGAATTAATTACTGCTTCCCAGTACTGCAGGCTGACAAATAACCTTGCGCAATTTCCCGGACAGATACATTTTAATGGAAATATTGTGCACAGGTCAAGAGCAAAATAGAGCTGCTGAACCAGGACCCTGCATGCTTGGATACGTGGGTGCCTCATCCCAAACACTTGCCTAGCAAAGCCCGAAGGGCAGAGCATGGGGCTGAAGCAGCCCCCTCTACACAGCAGCTCACATCATGAGGGTCCCTGGTGAGGATTGCTCCTAGGGCTGGTTATTTTCTGTAACAAAGGAAAAACGTGGATAGCAAACAACCAAGCACATTTTTCAAAACAGCAGCTATGACATCTATGAAGCTCTGTAATCATTATGCAAAATTCACTATGTAGCTTTTCAGTTGTAAATCAAGTATCACAGGGCACTGAAATGAAAGCTCAATCTCCATATCCTAATTTTTCTTTTGGAAATGTGGGAAGATAGTATATAGCTGATTATGCTCCACAGTATACACTGGCATAACGAGTCACAATATACATTTATTATTCTTTCAGTTAAAAGCATCAAGTACTGAATGTAATAAGAAAATTTCATGAACCAATTCCCTCAAAACCATTTTCAATAAAAAGTCTTTGCTTTCTCCTTCTTTTTAGATAGGCAAAATGAGGAGAGTGGTGGAAGAGCGAGCCTGAGAATCAATAGGAAAATCTGAATTGTCATTAATTACCCCATATCCAATCTGAGCTGCTGTTTTGTGAGCCATGCTCTACTCATAACAAGGTTTTCAGGGATGTCACTGAAGGTATCTCAGGGACACAACTCTTTGGAGTTTGGTGCAGTGACCCAACAACAGCATCACCCTCAAAGATATTGCTCCTAGAAGGACAACGGACTTTGGACCCTCACTTCAGGAGAAACTGAAGAGATCCTGCTGCCATACTGATGTGAATCACCAGTGTTCATGTGCTAAGTGCAACTGCCATAAAAGGTCACCTTTGCCTAAAGGACTTAATTCTGAATGTATTCAGACCTTCCATTCACCAAAACCTAATGAAGTCCCACAGGAATAAAATAATTTTACAGGAGATCCATGCATGGGATGCAGATTTGTTTCCAGTCATCCATCCATCCATCCATCCATCCATCCATCCATCCACATCTCAATCACTTTTGCTCCCTGTCTGAAGCTTGAACCCAACTTTTGCCCATGGTGTGAACACAGTCCTTGTTCACAGTCTGCCTTGTCCACAATTCTTCATATAAACAAACCACAGGAAACAGCATGAACCTGCAGCATTGACCATTTCCTGTGCTGAGAGGCAAGCCCCCATCAAGAGACAGTGAGAAAGCAGCCTTGGTCCAGGTGCAGAAGTGGGGCAGAAAATAAATGGGACATCCATAAATCTTTTTGAAGAAAACATCCCTATCTTTGTCTAGGGATGTGCAGCTCCTGAGTTGAAGTGCACAGAACAGGTTGATGGCAGCTGCTATTTTAAAATTCATGAAGCCTTAAAGCATTACTGGATGATTTCAGAGCTTGGAGATAAGTAGACAAAATAGTCCAACAGGGGGGAGATGCTGATGTAGTAGCAGCCATAATAGTGTGTGATGCTGCACACATCCCTGCTTCTGAAAACCCACTCATCCATCTTGTCAGGGAAAATTGCTGTGATTCTGTTTCCTAGCGGAGGTGGTGGGAGGAAAGAGGCAGATGCATATTTTCCTCTGATCAAGGAGAAAAGGCCAGGCTATGCACCACTTACCCTCCTGAAGCCACCCGGCCCCCTCTGTGGAGGGCTTAGAGACTGGGGATGGCAAGAATTCAGTAGGGAAGGCATAAGTGGCATGGCCCAGGAGAAACCAGGCTTTGGAGCTGCTCTGCTAGTACTTGTGAGATGCTTTGCCCTCCCTGCCCTGGTGTGCCCCTCTCTGCTCAGGACTTTGCTCCAGCTTTACAGGACTGAAGAAAATGCTGGGGTAAAATGTGCTGGGAGCCAACAAGTTCTTCCTGTGCTTTACCTGTCAGCTCAGGGTTGAAAACTTCTGGGTGAGACTAGATCTGTGCCAGCCAGAGAAAGTTCAAACAGAATAAATGCCTAATTTATGTACCTCTACCCAAAAACGTTACCCAGAGTGGAACAAAGGAGCTGCTGCCTTAAGTTGGAGGCGTATCAGAGCAGCCATCCCTCCCTGCCATCAACATGCCCTAATCATCCAGATTCCCCATACACCCCTGAGGGGCTCATCCTGCTCCTGACATGCGGCAGAAGCAGCCCAGGAGCATGAAAAGCATGGGATGGAGACAGGAGGTTTTGTGCCTTTGACCTGAGCATGGGTACCTACATAGCAAGAGCCATCTCTAGCTTTTTCCCATGAGAGAGAGAGAGATGGGGAAAATGACTGCATTTATCCCCCTGCTCCTGCCCATCCCTGCCCCTTGAGTGCCCACTGGTTCCTGCACAAACTCTTCCCCTGTACCAGAGTGGGGACCCAAACTCCTGCTTTGCCAGGGGCAGTGGGAGGCACCTAAGTCCATGTCTAATGTGATTTTTCACCTGGCCATTGAGGACCATGGTGAGATGCAACTTGCCCAATAACATTACCTGCCCCTTTAGCATATTTTGTACCATGTGTGCACTGAATATCTTTAGCAACTTGCTTGGTGAAACTCTGTACTGGATATATGAGTAGGAAATAATTTCCAAAGACAAAAGCTGCAGGTTAAAAAACAACTGAAACTACCAGAGTGGTATTTTCTCTTGGAAACAATTTGTTATCCTGGTTTCAAGATGGTGAAATGTTCCACAAATATCCCACTTGTGACTTTTCAATTCCTCTTCAAATTTCCCCATGGACACATGGTCCATGTGGTGAGTTCAAGTCTGCCAGGGACACGCTCATTCTCCCCAACCCCATCATCCTGCTTCCCTCAAGAGTTTTGGACCCAGCTTGCAGTCCCAGTTTCAGTCTGTTCCTGAAGGTCTGGGTATCAGCTCTCCTGTGCCCCTTTGGCAGGGCAGCACAGGGCCTTCAGGAAGGAGACACACAGGTGCCATGCCTGGACTGATGTTCACAGAGCCCCGGGTGGGGAATAGTGCTGCTGGCACCCCACACAGACCTCTGGTGCTGGCACCCCACACCCTGCTCAGGCTCACACAGACCTCTGGTGCTGGCACCCCACACCCTGCCCAGGCTCACACAGACCTCTGGTGCTTCTGCACAGAGCACGGTCTTTAACTCCCTCAGTCCCCCTCCCCTCAATTACCACCATCAGGAAGACTCAGATGCAGACAAAGAGTGAAGGTGGCCCAGGAAGCTTCAAGGCCCAGGGATCAGAAACAACAGGCACTGCAAGGCACAGCACCTACCTGCCTTTCCTAACACAAGGAAAGAAGGAAGTGGTCTTTTGACTTAATCTGTGATATTTTATAAAGTAAAACCTCACACAGGTTTTAATTTATAAAATACCAGCACAACCTGGAGTTGTGTTTGAGTGAGGACAGCGAGTTTCCCCTGTACAGATTAATCCACTTCCACAATTTCTACTCAGCATGGAGTAGTTTTATTTCTTACATACATAATTCAGAGGTATACTGGAAGGGCAAAACCTACATTCCATGCTCAGACATCCACCATACAGTTAATAAAACCCATTCTAGTATGGTTTAGAGTTTATGTGAAGTAAAAGTAAAATCTGACCTGTTTCCAATAGCTACAAAATTACTCTGGGGAAGATAAAGATGTGATTCCTTTTAAATGTAGCTATTTTCTGTCCAAGGAAAAAGTCCTACGCATCAGTCCTTCCTATCATACATCTCCAGAGAAAGCAACAACCCACCCACACACTCCTCTGCTGTGGATTGCTCAGCACTTTGTTCCACAGCAATCTGTAGGAGAAACTCAACCCTCCTGTTAAATGCTTGAGGCTCAAATGATTAATTCTGTAGAACAGATCTCTAAGGCACATCAGAAATTGGAGCTCATTCCTAACAGCCTATCAGCATTCAGGCTATTACAGGTGCAAGCAGAACGGCAGCTTTGAGGGACGAAGCAGTTCTGTTATAACCAGAATTCTTAAAGGCATTTTCATATTTAATAGAGCTTTTTTTTATCTCCTACAAAGTTTTCCACCAAGGGCTTTCCAAGCATTGTATAAAGGCAGGTAATGATTTACATCATTAACACTCCCATTTTACAAACAGGAAATTGAAGCTTCCAAAGAAAATCATGAGAGGCTGAATACAGAAAATCCCAATCCCCCCCAAAAAGAAAAGGAATCAAAGCCTCCTGCCAAAAGTCCCCTTTCCAGCTACCTTTATTTAGTTGATATTCAGCTTTTTTTTTACCTTTTTTTTTTCTTTAAAAATAACCCAACCAGTCAAATGAGAGAACAGCAAGGAAATTGCAAGCTTTGACATACTTACTTCTACACTGCTGGCATTAGTACACAAATAAAGATTTTTATTAACTAGTTTACAAAAATAAATTCTATTGAGTCCCAGAGGATGTCATTGGGAGGTTTACTTGACTTTGGAAGACAAAGCCTGCTTGAAACGTCTCTTTAGATCTTGCATGTTGGGAGATTTGGGCCGAGGGATGATGGACGACCGCCTCCTGTCCGTGCTACCGGCATGCTGTAGTTTGCTGACCTCCTTGCAAAGATACTGGAAGACATCACAGACACCTTGGGAGTCCTCACTGGTGGAGATTTCCAAGAACAGGCTGCCCAGTTCATCTGCCAGCTGTAGTCCCTCTTTTGCCTGTACTTGCCTGGCGTGGAGGAGGTCTGCTTTGTTCCCCACGATAATGATGGGAGTCCTGGCATCGGGGTGCAACTTGCGGATGTGCTGGTAGAGAGGCTGGACTGACTGGTAGCTGCTGTAGTCGGTGATGGAGTAGACCAGCAGGAAGCCCTCCGCCCACTTCACGCACCGGGACAGGGAGTCCAGCACCTGCACGCAGTCTTCCTGCACCTGCGGTACAACACAGAGCACACATTCGGCACTGATGCGGCACTGGGTCATGAAAGTATCACAGCACCATCAAGGGGTCCAAAGGGAAGCCTGAGCTCTGTCTCAGGAGAAGAAGTCTGGGCATGCAGGAAATTTGGGCTCAAGATCTGACCCTTTGGGTAGCAGACGACAACCGATTGATCCAAAATATCTCCGTACCTGAATGCATCCCGGCGTGTCTTGGATCTCTACGGCAACGTGGTCCCCGTCGAGATGGACCAGCCGGGAGTAGAGGTTTCCTGGGGAGCAGAGAGCCGTGAGCCGCCGGCCGCGGGGCAGCGCCGCGCCCGCCCCGCCGCGCCTCGCCTCGCCTCACCTGTGTTGGGCTCGTAGTCACCGATGAAGCGCTTGGTCAGGAACCGCACGATCATGGCTGAAACACAGAGCGCCGCGTTAGGCGGGACGGACGGACGGGCAAAGGAAGAGGATGGGCAGGGGAAGAGGACGGGCAGGGGAAGAGGACGGGCAGCCCCGCACTCACCGCTCTTGCCGACGCCGCGGGCACCCAGCACGGCCAGGCGGACCTGGGCGCCGGGCGGCCCCGGGGGGCACTCGGCGATGGGCGCCAGCAGGAAGGGCTGGGACATGCCCGGCAGGCGCATGGGAGAGGCGGCTCGGCAGCCAGACGGCTCGCACGGCTCCGCTCGGCTCGGCCCGGCCGGCAGCGCCCGGAGCGCACGGCCCCGGCGGCTTTTAAAGGCCCCGGCGGCGGCACCGCCCGTGGGGCCGCCCCGCTGCCGCGGCACCGCCCCGCAGCCCTCCCGCCCGACTCGCCCACCCGGGCTGTAGCCCTTCCCCTTTCTTCCACCCTCCCCGCTCCCAGACGTGGGGTGGCCCCGCGGGCACAGGCACCAGGGGTCTGGCGGACTGCCTGGGCAGGCCGTGCAACCTGCGTCCCACGGTAGGGGCAAGCGCCCTGCTGAGCATCCCCCTGCCCCAGGAAGACGGACAAATGCGCCACCCTCCCTGCAGTGAGGGACTCCGGTCTTGAAAGAAAGGAAATTATTATTTTATCTCAGATTATTTTGTTTCCACACCCAAACATATCCCTCTACAGCCAGTGTTGAAAACTCAGCTTGTGGATCAAACAACAGCCAGCCCCGAAACCTAAGCGGTCTTGATTGGGCCCTCTGGGCTCTTGAAGTAGAAAAGTTTTGGAGAATGGTGCTCCACCACGGGCTGCCCTTAAATGAGCCTCAGACATGCAAGCAGCTGTGCAGATGTTTCAGTCTCCACAAAACAATGCCCTAGCTCCTGCTTCTGCTCTGTGCTGCCTTGCAACTGTGTAAGTGCTTAAAAGAGAAATAATCCATTCAGAGGCTGCTTTCATTTTTATCAGGGAGATAGCACATGCCAGCAGGATACAACATGGAAAAGGATGGTACTCAAATGGACTAATCTCATGGCACAGAGAGATGAGAGCTGCTGGGCCCCAGCTCAGGTTGATGCTTAGACAGCCCAGCTGGCCCTGGATGCTCACACAGGGTTAGGACAATGCTAATTAACATCAGTTAATGTAGTACCTGCAGAAAAGCATGGTGGAAGAAGCACTGTTGATTGTGCTACTCTAGTGCCCAAGAACCCCTATGGATTTCTTTTAACTTCCAAAAGCTATTGCCGCTAAAATTTCTACTTTATTCCCCATCATGTCAGCAAGCTCTTTTCTTTTGGGAAAGAAAATTTCTCCTGTATCACTAAAAGCTTTTGGTTTCCAGAGGTTCTGCTATTGTCACCTGCTCCTATTGTCAGGGGATCGCTTGTCTTTGGCCTCACTCACAGCAGCTATTTTTATACACTTCTTTACAAAAGAGCTATCAGAGTAATTCAGTGTGCCTCTGAAAGAATGCTACTGAAACAAGTCCATTCCAGGCAGATGATTCCCAGGTGCTGAGCTGTGAAAGCAGGATTAAACAACTGTCCTTCTCAGACCTTGAGGAGCTCTCTTTCTGGTTAGCTGTATGACTCGAGCTGCCTTGCCTGCTGCTGGGAGCACCCCCAAAGGGCAAATGGGGGTGGTCAAGCAGAGATAACATTGCCCAAGCCCAGGCAGGAACCCTGTGAAGGAATTACTGTCCAGTGTGATGGACTATGTCTCCATCAACACCTACCCAGGTGCAACAGGAGCAGCTCAGTAAATTGAAGCAGTTGGGGCCCAGATTAGCTGTCCCCATGCTGCAGACTAAACATCCCTGGGATGTGTGGGGCTCCAGGCTATTCCAAGAGGCCTTTCTCTGCTCTGCAGGCCCCACTTGGGAGTGCCAGGCTATACTTTTTCAACCATCCTCTGTGAATGGCCCATCTATCCCTAAGGCCCATCACTATGCCCTTTCCCTCAGCAACACTGCTCAGTGCCAGTTATCCCATACTGCTGCCTGACACCTCTCCCTGTTCCAAGCTGCGTCAACGTTCAACAGCAGTACTTTTGGCTTGTTCCTGTGATGGTGGCATGGAGGACATCCTGAGAACATCTGGAGCTTCTTTTTTTTTATTTTTCTGGGTTCCTAAGCTGTATGGGTGCTGGTGGGAGCAATGTTCCCACCCCGTGCAGCCTCTGTACTGACAATGGGTCCTTCCTCCCCCTTCCCAGTCCTGCCTTTTCACTGACCTTCCCTGCCTAACACTGCTTACACAGTGCTCAGGAAACCTCAAATCCTGGTGTTGCCAACAGGCTATAAAAGGTGAAGCTGACAGCTCAGAAGACATCTTCCTTGCTGCTTCTAGGAGACAACAGGAGATTTTGCCAGGGCTTTTGGCAAGGAATAAGCAGTAAAGGTTCGTGGCTGTAAAGGAGCCTCAGAACAGGACTGCAGAGAACTGGTTACAGCTTACGGGTTTAGTGTGTAAAACCCTTCCAGGGCAAGTGGAAACTGGTGACCCCAAACCCTGTAAGGAACGTGCTTCATGTTTCAACTCAGGACTGGAGATGTCCCGACAGGCAGTTCTTCAGCTTTTCCTAATTCACAGATCTCCCTCTTTCGTCAGGATTGTGCAAAAACAGGGCAGCCGAACACACAGGAAGCAAACTTCAGCAGCCAAGATCAGGAACTGAGATCTGTTAAGTGTCTGGGCTGTTTCTACAAACTTCAGATGAGCACGAAAATCCCCACTGCACTGAGTGCAACAAACAGACAGGTTACACCTTAGTTTATTTGTCCTGTTTCCAAATACTAAAAACCAACAACAAAAAAAAGGTTATGTTCTCCCTGTACAAACCCAGCTTCATTTTCAGTCATTTCTGGGAATCCTGACCAAGGAAAGCCTTCCCAGCCTCTCCTCCCAGCCCACACAGGGCTTTCAAATATGCATTTACAACCAACTACCTTTGGCATAGTGACCTTAAAAACAATTTTTCTAAATAAATTGGAAAGTGTTGCAACGCAGTGTCTCTAGGAGCACAGATGTCAAACAAGACCACTGCAATGCTGTCCAGTCTTACTATTCCAAACTGCTCTAAGTTCAAAAGTGTAGAACTATGCCCCACTTACGATGTTAATCATTTCATCATGCTGCTACAGCTAATCCGCCGTGATTTTGACAAATGAGTACTAACCAAATACAGAACCAAAATAGCTTAGACATGCATGCATGAGAAGCAAATTTAAAATGCCATCACCCATTTGTATCCAATAGCCTCCCACTTAGTTCCTACAAAGCCTAGTGGAAAATGATGCTTATCTTGTAAGGCAAATACCAATTTTAAATGGCTGTGGAAAGTGACAAGCCAAAGAGGTTGATAAAGCACACAAATCCTGCTGCTCCAAGAAAAGCCCCTTGACCATAAAAGCCAAGTGCATACAGTGCACCAGTGAGGGCTTCAGGATACGGTGGAGCACTCAATCCACTATCCCTAAGGATAGTCCAACACCTCCAATGTGTGTCAGAATACAGCTCTATGTCATGGAGCAGCCTGCTAAGGGGCAAGTTCCTCCAAGTCACTTCCAAAGTCCTTCCACCTATACAGCCTGCTGCATCTTCTCAGATGGGAGCTTGGAGAACTTCAAACATAATCTGCCCACTGGAACTTGCAAACTCCAGCCCATCCAATCTAAAGCCCATCACCCTTAAATATACCAGCCCAAGCCAGACTCTGAATTCAAGGTCCAAAACCTACATTCCATGAGAATGGGAACAAATTGAGAGTTAGGTAAAAGCAAACCTCATCATCTCTGTGTTCCTTACTCCCACACTTACACGCTGCCCTGCAATTCACTGTTCAGTAGCTCTCAACAGTGAACACCTACAAACAGCTTGAGGTCACTTGCTTCTCTAGTACTTCTCTCTCTCCACGTAGACATTGGTTTTACATCACTTACTGAAGATAGCTGAGCAATGCCTGACATGACACTTCAAGGTAAACTATTATTTACCTGTAACTACAAAACAATTAAGCCTGAGACTGTGCTTCCAAGGCTGACCAAGCAGGTTTCCTACAGCAGTCTCTAGCAAGTTTCACCCTATTTCAAGCAAAGCTCGCTAAACCAGCACTGGTTAGTAAACAGTCAGCTGAAGATCTTCTTCCATTTAAGAACTGCACAGGTAGCACTGGGCTTTTGTGAGACATCAGTAAATCTGGGATGAGAGGGATTCACTGCAGCATTCAACAGGCATGCAATAAACATATGAAATACAAGTGTTTAGTAGCTATGCCAGCCAATTAAAGTGTTAAAAATCAAAATAAAGGCTGGCAGTTTTGGAATGAAACCCTTCTTTCTAAACTACTACGATTTTCTAAGAATGCTTAATGGCACGGGGATGCTGTAAACACTATTTTGCAGGTTACACTGGTGGAAAACCAAAATTTGCTTCCAGACATTTCCCTAGACATTGTTTTCAAAAATGGTTTCAACAATTCCTCAGTATTCATGACGTCCCTTAGCCAAAACCTTGCATCAACCTTGAAACATCTCTTTTCCTACAAAAAAAAAAAAAAATCAAGCCTTCAAGTGGCACTGGGCAATTCTTGATACGAGTTCTTAGTCTGTTGGTGAAATATTCCATGTCCCCTTGTAACAGCTCATGATCATTACTAAGCACTAGCAAATTTCAGTGCTCCCTGCATTTATCATCTATATAAATGACGGGACTCGTCAGCAAAAGCTGCAGATGATTTAAATGACTAAGCATCATGGTAAATGCAAGCTAAATAAATAAACTTCAATAAAAGAAGGTCTCTAAAGCATCTGTTCAAACAAAAAAGCCCCAAACCCAACTAAATGAATCAGCCACAATCACATACACTTGTCCAAAACCATATCTTTAGTTTATTTTTTAAACATACATTATGCCATGAATTCATAAGGAATTGGCTCCAGCAGCTCTGGATCCTTGCCATTAGTTCTCACAAAGTGTGCTTCTCTTGGTGGAGCAGGCTATAAACAGAAAAATAAAAAATGAAAACTCATGACATTACAGCTCAAAAACATCTTTTCAGAAAATAACATTTTGTCAACCATTTTGTGCCTTATTATGTAAACATTACAGCAATTTTACCATTCCTAGTCTCATAAATTTGATTCAAGGAGTAGCAGTAAGAAAATGATCTGCCAGAAAGTGTGCCTGACTTGCTTCTGAATTAAAAAACCTATGCTTTACTCTCTGCAGCTCACCAACCCAAAGAACATGGAGTGATGTATCCTGCAGCTCCAGAAGCAACAGCCATTACCTCTTCTCTGAAGTTTGGTTATTAATTCTTTCCTACAAGGGTTACAATAGAACCTGTTGCAACTAAAAATTCAACTAAACCAAAGAATCTACTGACCCTAAAACCATCCAGAGCTGCTGCTGCAGGGAAGCAACAACACAGGAAGCACCCAAGCCTTTGTTCAGGGCTACAACTACAATTTTCACCTGGCACAGAGCAGCTCTGCTCAGGCACCAAACATCCCAGACAGCCCAAATGCACACACTGCATGAGGCCACTACCCCAAGAATTAAGTCATCTCCTGCTCAAGGACTGTGACCTCAACAGAAACATTACCTGACGTTTCAGTTGAACCCAAATGCCTTTTTCTTTCGCTTCCTTTTTCTTCCTTTCGTTTTCCTTCACACGCTGCAGAAAGCTGTCTCTGCTCTTGGAATGTTTAATATGCTCTATACGCACATTAATTCTCTTGGCCAGAATCTTGCCCCTAAGGAAGGCAGTCAGTTTTTAATCTTCACTTGAAAAAGGTCACATTAAATCAAGACTTACAGAACTAACTCCATAAGCTCAATTACAAGTCATTTTTCTTTAAAGGGCAATACCTCAAAACACAGCTGCAGAGGCACATCAGATATAACTTACATATAACTAGAAGATTATTACTATTATTATATAACAATGTGATATACAACAATGTGCTGACAATTTCAAATTAAAATTGTGGAGAATATGTAATTTTAGCCTCTTAGCATACAAACAAGAAGTTTTATTACCAATGCACAGCAGTCAAGCTCCTGGAACCAAAAAAAACCCAACTTGTCTTTTTTTGACTAAAGAGTACAAAATTCAGCTGGATACACCTACATACTAGTACTTTAAAAGGGCATCAATACCAGCACACTGGCTGAAAAGCCCTGCCAGGTAATGTGACTTTAGGCGCTGGTAAGAGAAACAAAACATGTTTCCTCTGACAGGATCCAAGTCAAATGAGCACCATTTGCTTGGGTTATAAAAAGGAAATACACTTTACCCACCTTGAATGACCAATCAAGACAAGAACTGTCTAACTGGTAAAGTGAAAGGAGGGTGCAATTACAGTTCAACTTTCTCAAATATCAAGTTTCAATACACACGATTTCATTACTTACTTAACCTGCTTGTTAACAATAATGCCCACGGCGTGCTGAGTAACATTATACACCCTTCCAGTCTTGCCATGGTAACACTTGTGGGGCATGCCTTTCTGAACAGTACCCATACCCTGTTAAGAAGCAAAAAGAAAAGGAAAAAAAAAGGTGTGGGGGGGGAAGTAGCATCAATGATTTTTCTCTCGGAAGTAATTTAAAGTATACATTTCAAATTATTTGAGATTTATTATAAAATATTCCCATTTTGTCTTAAAGTTGGAATTTATAACCAAGCATTCTGCATCTGAAGACTACCAAATTTTGCTATGTCAGCTCTGGTAGCTTTCAGTGTCGGTGAAATGACAGATCACTTTGCTCACAGGAAGAGCAAGCAATCACAAGAGACATTCATCATCAAGCCCCAGTGCGTGAGGAAGTGTCAATTCTGAACAATATGTTCTCCAAGTCAAACAACAAAATAGCAAATTAAACACCACCTTCCGTGTGACTGCTACAGGAACGTGGCATTCCAAATGAAACCAAAGGATTCAACCAAGTAGGAATCCTTGGTTAAAGGCTTTCACATTCACTTCAACTCAGCTGTGAAAGTACAGCTGACTTCAGAAGGCAAGTTCTAAAATATACCAAGTGGCAGGAAATGCTGCTTTACTTTTCCTCCCTTTATTAATATATATGATGCATCCTCACATTTATTTCTTGACTTCTAGTTTTAGTATAGCTTTGCCATCACCTAACTATGAACTGCCCCACCACAAATCATGGCTCATAACAGGGTGTCTGCTAAGTGACAGCTGGGGCTCCTAGGAAAGTTGTGCCAGCAGCCAACTCAAACACTGGCTATGGCATATTTCACCCAGTTTTTTCAGCTGAACACACCATAACAAAGCACACCCAAATTACACGAATCTACAAAACCCCACATACACCAGCATATGACACTGAAGTGCTACTACTGGTCCGGCAGCACTGTCATTCCATTGCTCCCTAAGTGAGCAGCGGGCACTCATGCTGACACACGTGACCCAAGCAACAAGAGAGTGCACCCCAAGGAGCTGGAGACCACACAGGACCACACTGCCCCAGCTTTTAGTCAAACGGCACTGCAGAAAGTACCTTGATGTCAACTATGTCACCCTTCTTGTAGATCCGCATATAGGTAGCCAGAGGGACCACTCCTGTTAAGAGATACAAATTTGGATACTTAGGAAGCCCAAAATTTCACACACATAAAAAAGGATGGGGGACAGAGATCATGCATTTGATAAAATTTCCCTAAATACCTCAAAAATCAAATCACGATTTTTTAAA